AAAAAAAAAAATCAATTATCTAGGTTAGGCTGGGTCCTCCAGCCCTGGACACTGAGGCCCTGCAACCCTGACCAGCCCCTGGGTCCCTCAGCATCAGCTTCCATCCTGGTCTTTGCTCTTGTTCCTTTCATCCCTTCTTCCTTCTTCCTCTCTTTCGTGCTTTCTTTCTTCTTTTTCTTTTTTAAATTTCTGTGATGATTGGGAGAAACTTAGATGCAGCAAAGGGAAGAGAATAGAGATCAAATCTATGCATTTGTGAAGTGAATTGAGATTCTCACCTCTCCTGTAGGTCCCACCTCTGTGGGGATGGGAGCTGTGGTGGCCTGGTCTGCTCTGAGCCTTGCATTGCTCCTGCAGGCTCCACTGCTGCTCCGGGCCCTGCCCCCAGCCCTCCACACCCACCTCCTTACTAACAAAGGCAAAACCAGGACGCCTCCTCCCCCTTCCCCCTGCTTCCGGTTGGGCCATGACTAACCCCCGTGGTCAGCAACTTTTCCTCCCAGCTGCTGGGACCGCCTCAGTGTGCTGCCCCATGGCGTGCATCTGCCCACTCGGCGAGGCCAGGGAGACCCCCATGGCAGTGGAGTCCCGACACTGCCAGCTGCACTCCACAAAAGCACATCTCTGCGCTCACTGGGAAAGGGTTGAACACCACGTGGCTGCAGGAGTCTGCACCCCTCCCCATGGCCGGTCTGTCCTGTCCCCTGCTTCCGAAAGTTCGCAGCAAATGGAAGAGACATCTAATGCATACTACAAGAAGGCTATGCCTGGATTTCATTTAATTTGCCTCCAAATTAATGATTCCATTAAAAAGTAACTTCTTGCCCACTGCTTTAAAAGATTTATTTATTTTTACTTGAAAGGCAGATTTTACAGAGAGGAGAGACACAGAGAGGTCTTCTATCTGCTGGCTCCCTTCCCAGATGGCTACAAGCATGTTGCCAAACAATACCCCCATACTGGGTCTGCTTGCTGGTTGGGTCTGCTTGCTCGATATGCACAACGTCAATCACTAAGATAACAGCGATGCAAAAAATGCATTTACTGTGAAGCCCAGAGCAAGGAGCTCTTGCTTAATTCCAGGGCTCCCTGAGGAGTTGGGGCAAAGGCTCTTACACACAGACTTGGGGCTGGGAGGTGGGTGATCAGCTTGTGTGTCCTGCTTGGTCAGTGGAGCTCATGACCTTCCAGTGATTGGTCAGTGATGCTGTGTTCTTTTTTTTTTAAAAGATTTATTTTTATTATTTTTTATTGGAAAGGCGGATATACAGAGAGGAGAGACAGAGAGGAAGATCTTCCGTCCGATGATTCACTCCCCAAGTGAGCGCAACGGGCCGATACTATGCTGATCCGAAGCTAGGAGCCTCCTCCGGGTCTCCCACGCGGGTGCAGGGTCCCAAAGCCTTTGGGCCGTCCTCGACTGCTTTCCCAGGCCACAGGCAGGGAGCTGGAAGGGAAGCGGGGCTGCCAGGATTAGAACCGGCGCCCATATGGGATCCCGGGCGTGCAAGGCGAGGGCCTTTAACCACTTGCGCCACTGTGCCGGGCCCGATGCCGTGTTCTTTAAGGAATTCACGACGGACAAGTGGATGCCCATCAGCCTGGGGCTTACATGAATATGGCAGCTACATTCTACTCAGACTTGAAATTCCCTCACCCCAGTGACTCCAGGACCTTACTGGTCATTGAGGTTCTTATCTCATGAGCAGCTAGTGACTCCTCCAGTCTGGTGATTAGGAGCCTGTAAGGCCAGCTGGGTGACTCCTTGAAGTCAGTAAATTCCTTCTAATTAAAGGCAAGCAAGGACACCTGGTGCTAAGGGAAACAGGAGGCTGGGTTCTGCCACTACTTAATAGGACTTTGGTTTCAGACAGAGATAAACTAATCTGAAACCAGGCGCCAGGATCTTAATCCAGGTCACCCACATGAGTGCAGAGGTCCAAGGACTTGAGCCATCCTCCACTACTCTCTCAGTCCATAAGCAGAGAGCTAGGATCAAAAGTGGAGCAACCGGGACTTGAACCAGCACTCATTTGGGATGCCGGCACCACAAGTAGAAGCTTAGTGTACTATGCCACCGTGTCAACCAAAATCAATGTCCTTTCATTTAATTTTCCACCAACTTTGTAGGGGGTGTAGTAGGGGGACCCCAGGGACAAAGAGGTGAAATAAGCTTCAGAGAGTTATGCTTTTGGCAAAGATCATAAGTGACAGGAGAACAGTGAAGGGAAATCTCACGAAAAGGGAAATGCCATGGAATGCAGGAGCCATTTCCAGGGTCCAAAGGTCCCAGTGTGTGCTCCCCCTATTCCTTGTCTGGGCTGTACTCCCTCTCTTTAACTGCCTCTTTGTCCTGCCCTGCTCTGCCCTACTGCCACCCTGCCAAGGAAGATTGCCCTGGGCAGGCAAAAAAGAAACAAAGGCTGCAAACTGGCCTCGCATTTGCTTCAATGCTGGGTGCAAGGCGGGGCTGAGAGAGGTCAGGAGTCCCCGGAAGAGGGATGTGGCTGAAAAGTGGCCTCTGGGTTCCTGAGTCCCTTGTCCCTAAGAGACACCTGTACGCCCCGCCCACAGTGTCTGCTGGTCAGGTCACCAGCAGCCTAGGGAAGAACCAGCCCAGTTTCTAGAGGTTCCTGCTTAGACGGGGAAGCCAGTCCCGCAGTTAGGATGCCCACGTATCCCGCATCAGGGATCCTACGTTTAGACCTTGATCCTGGACCCTGACACCAGCAGCAACGGTGGCTCAGCTAACTTAACTGGAAGTGACTAGGGGCAGGATAGAGAGGGGCAGGGCCATTGGAGCTGGGAGTGGCTAGAGCAGCTGTCAGGAGAGGCAGGAGGGAGGACATGGTGAAAGCAGTGGGGGACGGCCCAAAGCCTTGGGCTACTGCACTCATATGGGAGACCTGGAACAAGCTCCTGGTTTCAGATCAGACCAGCTCCAGCTATTGCAGCCATTTGCGGAGTGAACCAGAGGGTGGAAGACTTACTTCTTTCTGTCCTCCCTCTGTAATTCTTTCAAGTGAAATAAACAAGTCTTCTAAATATTACATCCCTCCCAGCCATTATGCCTTGTGCTGGCGTTTCCCATGTGGGGGCAGGTGCTGGAGGCACCTGCTGCGGTGCCAGGCTCCTGTACTGCGCATGTTGCACTGTTCCGCCACATCACTCAGCTCTCCTCCCTGTGTTTGCAGCACTGCTGGAACTCTCCCAAGAGACGCAGGAAGGATGCACCTGGTGGCCGCAGGGCTCCTGTGTGTGCTGCTGCTTTGCAGAGCCAGCCAGGTGAGTGTCCAGCCCCACGGGACTGCCATGCCCCCAGACAGCCCTCCAGGGAACTGTGAGTCCACAGCCATGCTGCAGCATGGAAGGCCAGGGCAAGGCTTTAGCCTGGTGGAAATGACATCCATTAGGACACCCAGACCCTACACTCGGGGGTGCTTGGGTTCAAATCCCAGCTCTACTCCTGGAGTTCAGCTTCCTGCTAATGCAACCTTGGTGGGGAGGGTGCAAGAGGGGGATCGGGGGGTGGAAAGGGCAGCAGCAATGGCTCAAGAAGTCCTGTCTGGACCACTAATGTGGGAGGACTGCATTGAGTTCCTGGCTCCTGGCTTTGACCCAGCCTAGTCCTGGTCCTAGTGGGTATTTGGTGAATAAAGCAGTAGATGAGCTCTTGCTCCATTGGTCTGTGTCTCAATTAAATATTAGAGGGAGAGAGAGAGAAGAAAGAATGCAAAGTCCAGGAACAGAGGGGAAGCACCTGCTCCCTGTGGCTGGCACCTGGCATTTGTTAGCCCCGGCCCCACCAACCTTCTCTGCAGCTTTCCAAGCCTATGTTTTTATCAGTCCAAGGTGGTACACGGGCTGCCAGCCACAGGAACAGACAGCTGCCCCCTGAGAGGGCAGAAGGTGCCTGACCTCACAGGGGTACCCTAGAGGGTCAAAGCATCAGTGCCCCTACAGCAGGATTCTAGACAAGGGAGAAGCAGGACTGCCCATGTGGTAGCTGCTAGCCATAGTCTGCTGCTGTTCTGATGTAAACTTGGGGGCTGGCACTGTGGCACAGCATGTTAAGCTTCTGCTTACAGTGCTGGTATCCCATGTGGGTACCAGTTCAAGTCCAGGCTGCTCCATTTCCCATCCAGCTCCCTGCTGATGTGTCTGGGAAAGCAGTGGAGGGCGGCCCAAGTGCACAGGCCCCTGCACCCATGTGGCAGATCCAGATGCAGTTTCAGATTCTGGGCTTCATCCTGGCCCAGCCCTGGCTTCTTTGGCCTTGTAACAGCAGATGAAAGATCCCTCTTTCTCACTCTGAGTTTCCAATAAACAAATAAGTCTACTTAAAAAAATAATAATAATGTAGACCTGTGTGATAGCTCAATTGACTAATTCCTCCCCGTCCCCCACTGTAAGCACCAGGATCCCATATGGGATTCCAGCTGTTCCACTTCCCATCCAACTCCCTGCATAGGATCTGGAAAAACAACGGAGGATGGCCCAAAGCCGTGGGAGACCCAGAGGAAGCTCCTGGCTCCTAGCTTTGGATCATCTCAGTTCTGGCCGTTGTGGCCATTTAGGGAGTGGGTCAGCAGACAGAGGATCTTTCTGTCTCTCCTCTCTGTAAATCTGATCTGCCTTTCCAATAAAACAAATAATAAATATTTTTTAAAATAGTAATGCAAGGTTACTTGAAAATAGGTAAGGTCAGAGGTTCCAGTTTTGGTCATAGTAGCCACATGTCAGTGCTCAGTGGCCCAGGGGATAAGCACAGCCTGGACATCAGTGGTAGATAACCATGACATTCAGAAAGTCCTTTGGGCTGGCACTGAGCTGGACGAGGCAGCATATGGGTGGTCCTTTGAGGCCAGTTCCCTGAGGCAGCAGTCCAGACACGCACCTGGCAGGTGCATGGCCAGCCTACCTCCTACTGCCCCTTTCCATTTTGGTTCTGAGGACTCAGTATGGCTGACCCTACCCCAACCCTGGTGTCTCTGCAGGAAATGCATGCACGGGTGAGAAGAGGAGCCAGGTCCACCCAAGGTGAGATGGCACAGCTGGGATGCACAGGATGCCAGAAGGGCAGGGCCATGCCAAGAGGCCTTCGCAGGCTGGGGAGAGTCACCCAGGCTCTGTGCGGGTGGGTTGCCTGCTTGGTCACATTCAGACGCCAGTCACATTGCGGCTCAGAGGTGCGGCTCGGAGGTGCGGGAGATGGCAGGCCAGGTTGTCCTGGGCCTCACCGCCTTCCTGCAGGAGTCAGCCCTGCCTCCATCCCCAGAGCTTCCTATCTTTTTGTAAAAGAGCAAGAGGCAGTGATCCTGCAGGCTTCCTGTCCCTGCAAAGCCAGAAGTGGCTCCAGGGAGCTGAGGCTCATCCTAGGAGCCCCAGGCCGGTAGGGAACTGTGCACAGCCCTAGTCCTCCTTCATGAGCTGACTGTTGGGGTCTGTGACACCCGAGTGACAGTGAAGTACCCGCTAGGTCACAGGTGTGACAAACCTGGCCGAGACAGCGAGCGTGTGCTGCTACTTCAGTCGGCTCCAAGTCACTTCTACAAAATGGCATTCTAACTGAAGGACACCAAGATGGAAGAGAACGTGAATGGGAGTAATTCAATTGTATTCACTTTAAAAAATTAGCCAAAAATAATGGTTAACTAGGAATAGCACATTTTTACCCCTCCCCCCGTAGGCTAAAATGTCCATATTTTTGAACACTAAGGTAAAAGATATCACTTCTGTGTGGTGATACTCAGATCAAAAGCTGTGGCAGGGGGTTGGTGTTGCAGTGCAGTAGGTTAGGCTGCCACCTGCAACCCCCAGTATCCCATATGAGCCACAGCTGAAGTCCCAGCTGTTCTGCTTCTCATCCAGCCTCCTCTAATGCAGCTGGGAAAGCAGCAGAGGATGGGCCATGTACTTGGGTCTCTGTCACCCACAAAGGAGACCCTACTGGAGCTCCAGGCTCCTGGTCATTGTGGCCATTTGGGAAGTGAACCACTGGATGGCAGGCATCTCTCTCTCTCACTCTGGCTTTGAAATAAATACAAGTCTTCAGTGGATCCGCCCTGGAATGGCAAGGAGGAGCCCTTGGACCTCTTCTCAGAGCTGTGCGCTAAGCGGCTGGCCCCCTCCTCTGTCGTAGTGACCTGCGTGGAGCAGCGGATGCAGCTGACATTCCAGCTACAGGAGTCATGGCTGCGCCCTGTGCTGCGAAGCAACCGGGTTGAATACTGTCGATGCACCAGCAGCGGACCTCAGTGCCATTCGGTGCCTGTCAGAAGTACGTGCGGCTTCCCGCTCGCCTGGGGGGGAGGGGAGTTCAGGCGCGCGTCCCTTCAGATCCCCTCGCTCGGAGATCCCTTCCCGGAACACACTCGGACTCCAGCGAAGAGGAAGGTCAGAGTGACCTGGAGTGAGGCTAGGGCTGCTCTGCGCTGCGCTCCGGTTTCAGGGACCCATACCTAGAAGGGAGCGTGGGGAGATGGCACCTGCTTTAAGGTCTGCTGGGAGGAGCCAGGCTGTACAGCATGGGCACTCTCAGACCATGTGTTGGCTCTGCAGGCTGCAGTGAACCTCGCTGTCTCAACGGGGGCACCTGCTGGCAGGCGCAGTACTTCTCAGACTTTGTCTGCCAATGCCCTGAAGGGTTTGTCGGGAAGCGTTGCGATATAGGTGAGTGGGTATGAGTGAGGGACCTCAGTCCTGACTCCACATCTGCCCAGGTGGTGGGGGCCAAGGGCAAGGGCTGGGCCAGGGAGGGACCAGGTGAGGGGTCGGTGGGTGGGGGTGGGCGGATGTGTGGATGTTTGGCAAACCCAAACAACAGAGGGCCTCAGCGCTTGAGATGACGTGGGTCCTGCTCCCGAGCAGATACCAGGACCAAGTGCTACAGGGACAAGGGCATCGGCTACAGGGGCACCTGGAGCACCTCGGAGAGCGGGGCTGAGTGTATCAACTGGAGCAGCAAGTGGCTGGCCATGAAACCCTACAACGGGCGGAGACCCAATGCCCTGCAACTGGGCCTGGGGAACCACAACTACTGCAGGTGAGGAAGACCCAGGCCCGGTGCCATCCCAGGGTCTGCAGCTTGCTCTCCGGAGCCCACTGCATGCCATGGCAGTGGTGGCTAAGGCCCTAGGGGGTGCTAGGGTTGCCCTTTTCCAGCAGAAACCCTGCCCAGGTGTCAAGGGGTCGCAATCACCTCCCACCTCCCTTCCTCAAGAGACAAACCAAGTCCTCCATAGGTTGGTTCACTGCTCCTTGGCCTCCCTGCCACACCCTAATGCCTGCAACAGCCCAGCAGGGCCAGGCCACAGGCAGCAGCCTGGAGCTCTACCCGTCTCGCCCCAGAATTCGGCCATCACCCATCTGAGCAGGAAGCTGGAGTCAGGGGATTTGGGAGTGGATCCGGGACCAAAGCGCTGTGGTTGGGATGTGCTTGTCCTAAGAAAGCTCTTGACTGCAAGCAGTGGTCTAGCCGGGGTGGGGTGGGGGGTTTGTTCCATTTATTGTAAATAAATAGAAATGCCATACAGCGAGAGGGAGGAGACAGACGGAGACCTCTCATACGTTAGTTCGCTCCCCCAATGACCTCATCAGCCAAGGCAGGCCCAGGCCAAAGCCAGGAACCCTGTCAGGTGTCCCATTTGGGTATAAGGGGTCCCAAGCATTTGGGCCATCCTCTGCTCCTTTCCTAGGTGCCTTAGCGGAGAGCTGAAAGAAAAGTGGAACAGCGGGCCCGGTGGGGTGGCCTAGCACATTAAATCCTTGCCTTGAACATGCCAGGATCCCAGAAAAGTCCTTTTCTAATCCTGGGTGCCGGTTCTAATCCTGGCAGACCCACTTCCCACCCAGCTCACTGCTTGTGGTCTGGGAAAGCAGTGAAGGACAGCCAAAAGGCTTGGAACCCTGCACCCATGCAGGAGACCCAGAAGAGCTCTTGACTCCTGGATTCAGACTGGCGCACCTATGGCAGTTGCAGTCACTTGGGGAGTGAATCAGTGGATGGAAGATTTTCCTCTCTGTCTCTCCTGCTTTCTATATCTATCCAACTTTGCAATAAAAAAATAAATAAATCTTTTTTTAAAAAAATGGAGCAGCCAGAGAGTCTGAACTGGTGTCCATATGGAATGTTACAGGTGGAGCTTTAATGCACTATTCCACCGTTAACTTTCCCTGGCTGCTTTTTTATTTTTTTTTGTTTTGTTTTTTTTGGTTTTTTTTGTTTTTTTTTTTAGAAACCCAGACAAAGACGTGAAGCCCTGGTGCTATGTCTTCAAGACAGGGAAATACGCCCCAGAATTCTGCAGCGTGCCCATCTGCCCCAAGGGTAAGAGGCAGCCCCGCCCAGCCCCGCCCAGCCCCGCCCCAGCCCCGCCCCACTCAGCCCTGCCCTGCCCCACCCAGCCCAGCCCCTGCCCAGCCCCGCCCAGCTCCACCATCACCCATGGGAGGAATCTAGGATGCCCAGGCTGACAGTCCTGTAGCCCTGGAAGGGCCAGGAGACAGAAGGCCTCTCCCAGGCTTGACTTCTGGCCATTTGGTCCTGAGGTCATCTCTGGACCTCTGGAGACAGACAAGGGAGAGGGTGGGAGTGAGTCAGTGGCTTCCAGTCCTTTCCAGAAAGAATGGATTTTCTCCCACTTCCAGTGTTCTCCGGGTTTTGTGCAGGCCGCGGTGTGTTGCAGGCCCCCCAGCCGGCCCACTCCCACATTTAGGAGATGTCATTTCAGTGCAGAGGCCCCTCTCGTTCCAGGGAAAGACGGGGAGTGCTATTCCGGGAAGGGGCAGGCGTACCGTGGCACCCACAGTCAGACCTTGTCGGGCACCAGTTGCCTCCAATGGGATTCCATGCTCCTCAGGAACAAGCAGTACACGGCCTGGCACAGGAACGCAGAGGCTCTAGGCCTGGGCCGGCACAACTACTGCAGGTGCGCAGGATCCGGGCACAGGGGGCCAGGGGAGGCGAGCAGTGAGTGCAGGGGCGTGGGTGGGAGAAGGGGAAGAGGTGAGGCACGGGTGGGGAGCGGGGAGGGGGACAAGCAGTGCACGTCGGGGAGGGGGTGGCGAAAGGAGCCCATGTACCTGCTAGCCAAACCGAGAAGAGCCAGGGTGCCTCCTCACCCACCAGACACCCCTAACCTTGCTCTCAGCTCAGGTTCTCACCTGTAGGCTGACTGAGCCTCTATCTATTCCCATGATGGAAACCTCCACCTCCCTTGTCATCCAGGAACCCAAATGGGGCCGCCAAACCCTGGTGCCATGTGTGGAAGAATCGCAGGCCAATGCGGGAATTCTGCGATGTACCCCAGTGTGGTAAGGGCCACGCCCCAGCATGGGCTCACTTCCCCTGGCCCATCCCCCATCTCCTGCTACCACCACCACCCCATCCTCCACCCCTAACTCCAGCTCTTCACAGCCAGTCACTGTCAGGAAGGCCCGGTCTGGGTGGAGAATGAATGGGTTGACAGGTGCAGGAGCTGAGGTGGGGGTGGCCTCATATCCCTGTGTCCACGTTTGCCATGGGCGGGGGTGATGGGAGGGCAGGGAGCAAGGGAAGATGAGGAAGATGAGGAAGAGGAAGGATCTCGCTTCTTAGATGACAAGGCACCAGCACCAGACAACCACATGAGGAGAGACCCTCTCCATGTCCGGAAGTCATCTCTCTAAAGTCACTGGCCCGGGGCTCTGGGTGGTCCTGGGGGGCTCCCCGACTGCCTTGCCCTGCCGTGCACCCATGCCGTCCTCCTCCTGCACACTGCTCCCAACCTCACACTAGGGAACCAGGCTCCTCCTGAGCAGTGAGTTGGAGAAAGGCAGATGCAGCTAAAACAAGAGGCAGACTGGATTCCTGCAAGTCCTGGGCTGGACTGCCACGTTCCTCCAGTGGGCAGGGAGCACACAGCCTGGGCCCTGCACGGAGCCTTTCTCCTGGGCTCGTCCCGCCCCTCTGCCAAGAGCTTAGGACTGGCAGGACAAGTAGGGCAGCTGTGGCACTTCATGGCTTCCCAAGCTTCATGGCTTCACAAGCTGCTCCGAGGAAGGAGCAGACAAACCCCATGGAGAGTCCAGCCCGTGAGGGGCCCCCGGGGACCTTGACAGCAGCTCAGCCTGGCCCCTTTCACCAGCAAGTGGTCATGCAGGGGGGCTTTGCTTAACAGGCTGGCTGTTCCTTCCCCCCTGCCCACCTGCGCCTCGGCCCTGTGGGCAGTGACCACAGGCCTCACTTCTTATCATCCCGCAGCCACCTGTGGCCTGAGGCAGGACAAGCAGCCACAGCCCCGCATCAAGGGGGGACTGTACGCCGACATCACGGCGCACCCCTGGCAGGCTGCCATCTTCACCAACCACCGGAGGTCACCAGGGGAGCGGTTCCTGTGCGGGGGCATCCTGATCAGCTCCTGCTGGGTGCTGTCGGCGGCCCACTGCTTCCAGGACAGGTGAGGGGCTGGGCGGCCCAGGGGGCGTCTCCTCTCCCCACACCTGCCAAAGCCGGCATCCTGAGGCTGTGTCTCCATCGCCCCCACAGCTTCCCACAGCAGCGGCTTAAGGTGGTCTTGGGCAGAACGTACACCTTGGCGCCTGCCCCGCAAGAACAGAAGTTTGAGGTGGAGAAGTACACGGTGCACAAGGAATTTGATGATAATACTTTCGACAACGACATCGGTAAGACGTCATCATGCTCCACCTTTAGGGGGCAGGTGCGCCCCCCAACCTCTGTGTTCACACACTCTTCCTCCTCCGCCACCATCCCGCTCCTCCTTCCCCAGCCAGCTCTTCCAGCCTATCCTTCTCGTCCCGGCTCATCCTCTTCCTCACTCTGGCTCACTCACAGCGCTGCTAAAGCTGAAATCGGCCTCGTCGTCCTGTGCTCAGGAAAGCCTCTACGTGCGCCCCGTCTGCCTCCCCGAAGCCAGCCTGCAGCTGCCCGACTGGACCGAATGTGAGCTGTCAGGCTACGGCAAGCACGAGGAGTGTAAGTGCCGGCAAGTGGTAGGTAGCCAGCCTCTGCCGTGGGCAGGGCGGCCCATCCCACCCAGGAAGGGACACGCTGCTCTGTCGTCCCCCCGACACACACACACACCGCGGGCACGTGACCACCTGCTCCACCTCTCAGCCGAGGAACAGTGCACATCTCAGGTGGCAGGGATGCTGGCCTCAGATGCAGAGCCTGGGGTTTGTGAGTTTGGGCTGCTGGACCACAGCCTGGGGTTCATCATATTCATGATGCACTTATTAGCTGCTTGAACCTGAGTGTGAACATCTATTCTAGCCGTCCCCAAGCCCATTTGCTCACTGGTGGAGGGGGTGACTGTCATCTGAATGCCAGAGGAGATCTAGGATCTCCCCCTCCCAGCAGGGCGTCCAAGCTACTGTTGGACCCTTTGCCGCCACCCTCCTAAACTTCATAACGCTCCTCCCATCTCTTGCAGCATCTCTGTACTACTCCGAGCAGCTGAAGGAGGCACATGTGCGGCTGTACCCCGCCAGCCGCTGCACCCCCCAGTATCTGAGGAATAGGACTGTCACGGCCAACATGCTGTGTGCTGGAGACACCCGGACTGGAGGCAACGAGGTCAACCTGCATGATGCCTGCAAAGTAAGCGGTAAAGGGAAGGGAGGTTCCTAGGCCTGCTGCAGGCTCCAACCGGGAAGGGGACTGAGTCCCAGCCAGGGCCCCACCCCCACTCCTGGAACAAAGCTACTGGAGCAAGATCAAAGTCACCTGCACCGAGACACCTGCGGTGCAGGAAATTTCCCCAGTGGCTGCACAGGAAGCTCCACCCAGAGTGGGATTTCCTGTGGGCCCCAGGCCAGCCAGGGCGCTGGTGAAGTGATGGAGCTGGGGAGGAGACACAAGGGATGGAAGGACGTGACCTCAGCTTCTGGGGGCACTGGGACAGCAGCCTGGGAAGGGGCGAGGGGTGACAGGCGAGCTGCTAGGATGCTGGCAGGGAGTTCTGCAAGCTCCTAGTCAGTCCTAACATGATGGGCAAGCAAACATCTAGATTCTCTGGGTCGACATTCCTTTATTTATTTTAGTTTAGTTTATTTGAAAGGTAGCGTGGCAGACACAGGGACACACACATACACACATCTTTCATTCATTGGCTCAATCCTCACATGGCCACAGAAGCCAGGACTGGACCCGTGTGAAACCAGGAGCCTGGAACTCCATCCAGGTCTCCCACGTGGGGGGCACTGGGGCCATCCTCTGGTGCTTTCCCAGGTGCTGGGTGGGCAGTGGAGCAGCCGGGGCATCACACCTGCACTGTGACATGAGTGCAGCGGAGGCAGCGGCTCAGTCACTGTGCCACAATGTCGGCCTGTGTGGTGCTATTCTCACCAGAATTGGCCCTTCAGCTCACACTGCTGGTGTGAAGACCTAAGTACAGCTGAGGGATGGCTGCTGCTCGGGCATCTGTGCTGACCACATGCCAGGCTCTCTGCTGGCATTGGGGAAAGAATGGGACTCGGCTCTTGCATTGAGGCATCTGTGGATGGGATGGGTGTCTACCAGCCATCCCCCTGCCCCCTGCCAGCAACTTTGACTGCCTCTGCAGTCCCACTGTGTGTGGTTTCCTTGGAAACCACCCGTCAGGCACCAGGCTGGGTGTGGAGTGAAACAGCAGCCCGCCTGTGTGCCTGGAGTAAAGCACAAGACCCGCCTTGTGACATCCGTACTAATGTGGTGGAGAGGCAGGTGGACAGAATTCCCATTGGCTGGTCCACTCCCCACAAAGCCCACAGAGCCTGGGGCTGAAGCCAGCAGCCAGGAACCCAGGCCAAGCCCCCCCGTGGGTGCAAGAACTCTCACCTGCTACCAGAGTCAGGAGTGGAGCTGGGCCCCACCCCAGATACTCAGGTTCAGGGTGTGGGCGTCTTAATCAGCATTTTCAAAAGATGTTCATTTCAAAGGCAGAATTATAGAGTGAGGGCGAGACAAGGTCTAGTGGCCACAACCGGGCCAGGCCAAAGCCAGGAGCCGGCAGCGTCTTCTGAGTCCCCCACAGGGGTTCTGGGGTCCAGGCACTAGGTCATCCTCCACTGCTTTCCTAGGTGCATTAGCAGGAAGCTGGATCAGAAGTGGGGCAGCTGAGACTAGAACGGGTCCCCATATGGGATGCTGGCACCCCAGATGAAGGCTTTATTTACCATGCCATAGTGCCAACCCCAGTTTATTGAATTTCAAGTCCTGCCTCCAATTGCCCGGGTGAGGCCAGAGCAGATAGGCACAGGACTCAGTTAGCTGACATGACATTGGCCTTGTCTGAACTCAGAACCTTGAAGAATACAGCAGCCGGGCTCTGGACACCTGCCCCCATCCTCTTCCTCGCTTACAGGGTGTCTTCTCTTGCAGGGTGACTCAGGAGGCCCCCTGGTGTGCATGAAGGACGGACGCATGATCTTGCTGGGCATCATCAGCTGGGGAGAAGGATGTGGGGAGAAGGACCTGCCGGGTGTCTACACCAAGGTTACCAATTACCTGAACTGGATTCAGCAACACATGAAGCCCTGAGTGGGCGACACAGCCCCCTCATCCTCTTCCCAAGACCAAGAGGCACATCAAGGCACAGGGCAGCTGTCGGGGAGAGTCCACAAGGGAGGGACTAGTGAGCATGTCCCCAGGTGGATGAAAGGTTGATAAATTAGGCCGCTCCTCCCTGCATATCCTCCTGAGAGATCAGCTCATCCTGGGTAGTCTGCAACTACTGGGTCCTTCCAGCAGGAGGCGGTGCAGCAGCTGGAGGAATAGAAAGTACAATTGCAATCCCCAGAGCCAACTTCTGTGGCTGGGGACAACTCGGGCTGGCCCGAGGGGCCACGTTGGGCCAATCCACCCTTCAGATCCGGTATCCCGCCCATCCCCCTCTGTTACATTTGTGTACAGTGTAAATCTTTTGTGGGCAATGGAGACAATTGTTACCACTCTGATCACTGGTAAAAACTAAGCTGTAGCATATTGTTATGGATCCTTTCTCCTTGTTCCTGTCTGTTGCCACTACCCTGTATTATAACAAACCTAAATAATAAATGTAGATATCTTTGTCACATTTTCCCCCAATGCCAGAATGGAATGGCCTTGTCATCTCCGCCACCCCAGGGCCCCCTTCTCAGTGTGTCTGTTTGGCTGACTTTTTCATATGCGTCCCACATGTTGGGTCCTCGCTGTTTATCACCAAGCAGTGCACCAGGTGCCAGGGTGAGCAGAAAAGGGAGGAGAGAGGGGATGACGCCTGGTTTAGACAAACGACAAGGAGGCAGGATGGAGCTGGGCCAGAGTCACGGTGACTCAGCCGACTTTGGAGGGTTGGGAGAATCCTACGGATGAAAAAACAGAATCAGAGTAGGGCTCTGGGCTGGCGGACAGGTGGCAGGAAGGCTGTGGCAAGAGGGAAAACCTCGTGTGAGCGTCCAGCCGTGAGGAGGACAAGGACATGTGGCAAGGTTGGCCTGAAGCTTGGGTTGGACCTTGGCTGTCAGCTCAGGGCCATGTAGAGTGTAACAGGCGGGGGCAGTTAGGCAAGTGGCGACGGGAGGGCAGTGGTCACACTAGCGGGGGACTCTGTGCATGGTAGGCGTTGTGGTGATGGGAAGTTCCATGGATGGTGCAGCCCAGCAGCCAGTCCTGGTGTCCTGTTCACACACACACACACACACACACACACACACACACACACACATATCCTATTTTGCTTTGCCACTCATTAGGAAGAATGAACTGCCAGTCCGGCCCCCACAAGTGTGCTTGCACAAACAATGCACTTCTCTCTACTTCTCTCGGGCTTTCCTACGACGTGTGAGAGGTGGGGCTCCTTCTGCTTGCAAAGACCATGTGGCCGCTGCAGTGTTTAGCGTCAGGCCAGGGGGAGGAAGGTCTTCACCTCTTGGCGGGGAGAAGTGTGCTAGGCTCACAGCTTCTTCTGCAAAGCAGCAGAGATTGGCTAGCTGGGTAAGGGAGCTTCTTGAGTTAATGCATGCCACACAGACTGCTCACCAAATGAGTACCAGGATCTTATTTTAGGCAGATTGGGGCCACCACATCTCCAGCTGGCCCTGTGTTCCCTGGAAGTGGCCAGCCTCTAGGGATGGGAAAGCCAGCTTTTACAAGCCCCAGCATTCCTCCTGGATGTCCTGGGAACGAGGGAGCCCAGGAAGACAATTGCTGACTGAGCTACAGGGCAGGCCAGGGTCTCAGCTCAGCGGGGAAGGGCTGTGTGAAGTATGCTAAAAATCTCAAAAGGGCAGCTGCTCAACCCAGGGCAGGGACCTCAGGATCAAATGCCTAGAACTTGACAGGGGATGGGATAGGGATGGAAGGAAAAATTAAATATTATTTCCTAATTTCCCCGAGCTGGCTAATACAACAAATAGATGTCAGCAGGCCCGAAGGACCATGCCAAATACATGATTCCCACCCAGTACTTAGCGTCTTGGAGGGAAGCGTGATCCACAAGCAGCATGGATGACACGAAGGTGCCACCTGCTGGCCATAGAGGGAAGTACAATTAGAAGAAAATCACCACCACACCCGGTACTACTTGCAGACCCAGGGGAGCTGGTGGATGTGCGCCCCTTCTCCACGGAGGGCGGCAGCGGGATGGGAGCGTTCCAACACCTCTCAGTGCACCCCTGAAACCACAAACAGCACCAAACTCTACACTCCTATGTACCAGATTATTCTGTCACATAGGAGGGTACAGCAGAAAGTTCATGTGCCTGGTGCAGTGGCCCAGCGGCTAAAGTCCTCACCTTGAACATGCCAGGATCCCATATGGACACCGATTCTAATACCAGCAGCCCCGCTTCCCATCCAGCTCCCTGCTTGTGGCCTGAGAAAGCAGTTGAGGACATCCCAAAGCCTTGGGGACCCTGCACCTGCATGTGGAACTCGGAAGGGGTTTCTAGCTCCTGGCTTCAGATCAGCGCAGCTCAGCCATTGCGGTCACTTGGGGAGTGAATCATCAGGTGGAGGATCTTCCTCTCTGTCTCTCCTCCTCTCTATATATCTGACTTTGCAATAAAAATAAATAAATCTTAATTTTAAAAAAGTACATGAGAGAGGCAGATTCTGAAACAACTGCCAAATCATTTCAGAAGCTGTCTGCGGCAAAATAAACATTGTCTAGTGTCTCTGCAGCCATTTTTGAAGCAGCTTGCACACTGACAAGTTTACTTTGGAAATGAGGACAAGAAGAGGTTGGTAACTATCAACAGAACACTTCTAACAAACTGCCATGAGACATGTGACGGTGCCTTCTCAGCCTTTACTTGCTTGGTGACCCCTTGCTGAAGCCCCTGCGGGGGTGCCATGCTTGCCTGCATGACGGAGTCCCTCGATCAGCACACGACTCCCTGCCACATGCCGAATGCCTCTCCGTGCCGCTCACTGTGCCTGTAACCTTTGCAGTTTGAGGTGTGATGGCAAGACCAGCAGGGAATCCCCTCTCCCCTCTTCCCGGTTTCCCAGACAGCTTCATCTTTACCCCAGAGCCTAGTGACCTTCCCAAACCTCCCCACATGGTCTTCCTTCCTTGAAAACTTCCACTCCTCCCGCACTCTGGGCCAGCCCATTGCCAAGTGGGCAAAAGGCTACTTGGCTACCAGCACTGTGATACCCAAACAAGCGGCTCATACCTTGGATGACTAACGGGCGGGCCGTGCACAGGTGGGAATACATTCAACAGAGGGCCACGTCATATCTAGCATGGCAAGAAGGAACAGGGCAGTGTAGACACTTGGTTTAAAAACTAAGCATCTCTGGAATTTTCCAATTAGAATCTTCAGACCATGGTTGTCAGCTTCATGGAACTGAAACAGTGAAACCGTGGGGGGAAGGAATGGCATGCTGAACAAAGACAAAGACAGAGAGGATAAAATATGGATAATTATAAATCCTTGCGATGCTCAGGAAATGAGCCTTTCATTTAAATACTTTAAGGTTATTTTATTATTATTATTATTATTATTATTATTATTATTATTATTGGAAAGGCGGATATACAGAGAGGAAAGACAGAGAGGAAGATCTTCCGTCCGATGATTCACTCCCCAAGTGACCGCAACAGCCGATGCTATGCCGATCCGAAGCCAGGAGCCTCTTCCGGGTCTCCCACGCGGGTGCAGGGTCCCAAAGCTTTGGGCCGTCCTCGACTGCTTTCCCAGGCCACGGGCAGGGAGCTGGAAGGGAAGCAGTGCTACCGGGATTAGAACCGGCACCCATATGGGATCCCAGGCGTGCAAGGCGAGGACCTTTAACCACTTGCACCACTGCACCGGGCCCAGGTTTGTTTTTTTTTTTTTTTAAGATTTATTTGAAAGGCAGATTTACAGAGACAGAGATCCTCCATCCACTGATTCACTCTTCAAAATATCCACAGTAGCGGGAGCTTGACTGGAATCTGAAGCCAGGAGCCAGGAGCTTCCTCCAGGTCTCCCACGCGGGTGCAGGGTCCCAAGCCTTTGGGCTGTCCTCTGCTGCCTTCCCACACCATAAGCAGGGAGCTGGATCAGAAGTGGAGCAGCCAGGACTAGAACCGGTGCCCAGATGGGGTGCCAGTGTCACAGCTGGTCTACTATGCCATCACACCAGCTCCCGTTTTGAAATGCAGAGTTACAGAGGGAAAGAGACCTGTTGGTTCATTCCTCAAGTGACACTCTTGGCTGGGCCAGGCAGAAGGCAAGGATGGGAGCTTCTCCTGGGTTTCCCACTCAGGTACAGGGCCCAAATAGTCAGGCCTCCTTCCACTGCTTTCTTAGCTACACTAACAGGGAGCTGGGTGGAAAGTGGAACAGCCGGGACATGAACCCACACCCATATGAGAACCCAGCACCACGGGCAGTAGCTTAATGTGCTACACCACAATGCCCATCCTTATTTTCAAAACACATTTCAATTTTATTTGAAAGGCGAAGATGAGAGAGAGAGACGGAGATTTTCCACCTGCTGCTCACCTGGCTGCATCAGGTGGGGCTGGACCAGACTGAAACCTGAAGCCAGCAACTCCACCAGGGTCTCTCAGCAGGGCTACCAGGGCCCCAAGTCCTTGAGCCATCTCCTGTGGCTCTCTGCCCAGCAGCAGGGAGCTGGTACCAAAAGCGGGGCTGGGACTGAAGCTGGCACTCCCATACGGGATGCAGGTGGCCCCAGGAGCACCTGAAGCAGTGCCCCTCTGCCTGCTCCTTAGGGCCCAAGAGAGGCTCACAGGGGGAAAGTGGCTCACCCAGCACCCACTCCCAGATTCCCAGTGTCTCCCAGAAAACAGTGCCTAAGTGAGCCCCTCCCCGCCCCGAGGCAGGTGGACGGAGTGGGGACACGCTTTGAGCAAACACCCACAGCTCAGCATGGGGAAAGCCATGACTTCCCGCCTGTCTTCACCAAGTCAAAGCACCATTTTGTGCTAACACCTCTCATGCCACTCACCCTAGCCTGGAGGCGACACATACTTCCTGCTCAGCTGCCTGCAGGGCACAGAAGCGCAGGGTCCTGGAGCAGGGAATCTCCCACTGCTAGCCGTGGGGAACCAACAGCACACCGGAAACTGGTAAAAGTCAGCTTTATTGTCTCCACAGAATAGCAACTCCACACGTGTTAAACATACACACAACTAAACAGCTCAAGGTAGGCCCTGTCCACTCATGCTGGCCAGTGACCGGGGGTGGCCATGGGGCTGGAGTGGGCTGATGCGACTGGGCCCACCCTCCACATGCTTTCTCCCCCACCACGTGCCTTGAAGCGGGCTGGGCGACCCAAGAGAACCTGAACCGCGCACTCACGGGGCTGCGATGCAGCCAGGAGCCCCAGGCAGCCGGTGCTTTTGTGTGCAGGAGTGCAGCGCGACCTGGGGCTGCTCCAACTCATTTGCTTCCCCACAGCACGGCACACCCAGGGTGACACCGAAAGGAGCAGGACTCAGCCATAAGGCAGGACGCCCAAGGAGAAAGGTCAGGCCAGCAACAGCCCCTGCCCAGGTGCCAGTGAACTGACTTTGGGAGGAGAACTGGCAGGCTCGGTACCCCCACACCTGCTCCTCCTTACCCAACACAAAGCACACCTTGACTTCTTAGGCTACATGTTTCTTTAAAAAGAACAAACAAACGTGTCTTTTACAAGGATGTGTAAACAGCTAGCAGACGCGTGGGACCTGGAGCAAAGTACGCCGCTAGGACCTCACCCCAGAGCAGGCAGTGTATACCTGGCCTCCCCTCTGGGTGGTGGCCAGGCCCTCCTCCTGGGGAAGCGCCAGGCGGGCAGGATCGAGATCCCGGCCCAGCTCGGCCCTGAACTCCATGTCCACATCCACTCCAGGGCCCACCCATGGAGAGGCAAGCTCAGCTGTCTGGGACCAGGGGCAGAGCGTTTCCACAACGGGTCTGGGAGCAGGATGGTGAGCGCCCCCTGAAGGTGACTGAGCATCCGACCGCCATCAGTCCGTACCCGGGTGGGCTTGGAGGCCACAAGCCTCCAGGCAGCTCGCTGCTGGAAGTGGGAATGTGGCAGGGGCAGGATGTGAAACAAACCGAGGTACCTCCCTGGCTCTTACTAACCCTCTCCCCACATGCACGCGCGCGCGCACACACACACACACACAAATACACCAGATGGAGCTGCCCCCTGGTCTCAGCAACCGCTCACTTCCCAACAGCTCCTTGCTGCTGCTCCTCCTCTCTCACAGGTCGGAACCCACGCTGGCCTGTCTACCCAGGCCCACCTCCCAGCAGGGCAGCCCGGGGTTCCAGTTTGGTCCAGTTCTCCTCAGGATCCTGTCTCCCTCTGCTGGCTCCAGAAAGAAAAGGGGCGGGGGGGGGGCGGCAGGGAGCAGGTGCGTCCTGCAGGGGCTGACCCAAGAGACAGCTAGATATTTTTTTACTTTCAGACAAGTAAAAGACAAAAACGAGTCGGTGAGCGGTCCCTCTCTGCAAAGCACGCCCTTCAGGTTCGAACTTGGAACTTGCCGGCTTTGGTCATGTACTTGATGCCCTTGAATGGTTTGTACTTCTCTCCGTACATATCCAGGCGGTTCACTTTGAGTCCTGCAGGGGCGAGGGAGAACAGTGCTGGGGGTTGAGCTGAGGAGGCAGGCGTGTGGCTGTGCGCAGCCCTCCGCAGCTTAGGGCAGCAGGGGTCCCCTCTGGTGCCCACCCAGCAGCTGGAGCAGACCCCCCAGGAGAACACTTCCCCAAGGGGGAAGGCACAGCATGTGCCGACTATGCACTTGTGGACCAAGGAAATAAATTAATAACAAAATAAATATACTAATGATGCAAGTTATAACCAAATGAACAAATGAACCCCCCCCCCAATATTCTTATTGTATACAAATTTTTTTTTAAAGGCCCAGGCTGCATGGAGAGTCGAGTTCATTCAGACGGAAGTATTTGGGGCTCTTCCTTGTGGCCTAGTGGCATACTGGGGGCTAAGCTGCTGCCGGAGATATCCCACATCAGAGTGTTGGTTCAAATCCTAGTTATTCTACTTCTGACTCCTCCACACTAAAGTGTTTAGGAAAGCAGCGTAGCACGACCCAGCGCTTGCGTCCCTGCCACCCATGTGGGAGACCTGGATGGGGTTCCAGGCTCCTGGCTTCAGCCCGGCCCAGCCCCCACATTGTAGTCATTTGCAGAGTGAGCCAGCAGAAGGCTCTCTCTCTCTTCCTCTCTCTCTCTCTCTCTGCCCGAGTGTGTATGTATGTAGCACGTGCGTACCTGTCACTCTGCCTCGCAGATAAATCTTTTTAAAAGTAAAATGGGAGATCTGAGAATTTAAATAAAGTCTATATCTAAATAGACAAGGTCTGTAAGTGAAAAATAAAAGGAACTTCATACTAAACTTAACATCAAATCCTATCTAACATACAGGGTTACTCTAAGGGTTGAATAAGAAAATAGATGAAAACAACCTAAAGAAGCATCGGACATTGGATGTCTTTCAGGACACCTGCATGCCATGCCAGAGTGCCTGGGTTTGAGGCCCGGCTCACACTCCTAATGTACACTATAGGAGGCAGCAGGTGATGGTTCAAGTTCACGGGTCCACACCATCCACGTGTGCAATCCAGGCTGAGCTCACTGAGCACTGGCTTCCGGGAGCATCTGAGCAGTGACCAGTGGAACACTGTCTCTGTCTCTCCCTCTCCATCTTACTCTCACTCTGCCTCTCAAAACTTGTTTAGGGACCGGCATTGTAGAATAGCAGGTTAAGCAGCAGCCTGTGCTACCAGTATCCCACATGGGCAGTGGTTCAAGTCCCAGCTGCTCCATTTCCAGTCCAGCTAAGGGACCCGGGAAAGCAGCAGAAGCCGGCCCAAGTGCCTGGGCCCCCACCCCTACACAGGAGACCCATATGAGGTTCCTGGCTTCTGCGTGAGCTAGCCTTGGCCATTATAGTCACTGAGCAGATGGAAGATCTCTCTCTGTTCCTCTCTAACTCTGCCTTTCAAATAAATAAATAAATGGGGGGTGCTGTTTAAAGAGCTTAAAAGCATGTCTTGTACATAACAAATTCTTGCTAACTGGTGACTTAGCTATTCCCACCCTCCTAAGAAGGCACAGATGATGGTGAACTAATCTGGACAGGCCCAATCATTCCAAAGGAACAAGGTCATAAACTCAACAAGGGTACAGCAAATAAAGACAACCGGGAGGAGGCAGCAGAAATGATTCCCTTGGTTACCAGGTAACCTCAGGGCACTCCAATGAACACCCAAAGAATGTCCCCTCTAACCCCCGCCAGGGCCCAGGGCCGTTGCCAGACACGAGGGCCGTTCCTCTCTCACTGGTGACTCGGACACTTTGATCCAGGTCACTGAGGTCGACTCTAACGTTAAGGGCTGCACTTGTCCCAGAAATGTGCAGGAAAAGATGCCCCCAGGGATCACGGGTCAGGCAAGGAAACCGAACCCCACGACAGGCAACAGGGCGAGGCACTCACCAGAAATGGCCAGCTGCTGGATCTTAAACTGCAGGTTGATCGTGGGGTTCTCATCTGGCTTGGGGGCCCCAGCCTGCAGGTTCATGGTCCCCTTCAGGCTTGGCAGCTTCTGGGGGTTTATTTTCCCAACGTCCCAGGACAGCATCTGAAAGACAATAAAGAAAAGCCCCCTCTTGGTGAGCCTGCCCATCAGGGCGGGCCTGGCCGCAGGTGCCTGGGCTCTGGACCTCTGCTGTGAACCGCCAGCATGTGGCAGGGGAGGGGAGGGACAGCTGTGTCGGTGTGTGGTCTGAGATGTGACCTTTCAGACCAGGTGGGGAGAGCTGGCAGGGGGAGTTTCAGCTGCTTCTATCCCCCATCGGCCCATTCCTCCTGCTGGCTCCCTTACCTTCGTCACGGGGTCGAAAGTGTGCGTGCCCTGCGACGGTGTGAGGCTCATGTTCAGGACGCCCTTGGGCATCTGGCTGGTGACAATCACGCCCTCAATGGTCTTGCCCATCGTCTGCTTGGGTCCCACGGTGATCTCAAAGCGCCCAAGGGAGCTGCTGTCCCGGAAACTGATGCTGTGCTTGACGTACACTGGGATCGCAACCAGACTGACAACGACAAAGACAAAATCACCACCCCGTGAGGTGCTGGGGGCTCAGCACCGTCTCCTGACTGCTGTGAGTCCAACAGAACCATCCTGGGTACTGAGCCGAAGGGCAGAATACACCTGCCCAGCCACCGTATTCCCATGTTTCCATGTGGGACGTGTCACACACACCTTGAAGTAACTTCTTACTTTTATGTGACCACACTTGAGCCCCCAGGATCCTCTGAAGCAGGGCAGCTGCCGTGAAGTGCCGAGAGAAGGAAGTGGCCCAGACAGGTAAGGACAGAGCCTGCAACCACAGCATTTCCTACGGCTGAGTACTTCTTGCATGTCAGTCACAAGGTAGAGTCCTGCCTGTCCACTTAGCCCTCCGGGAGAGTATCACAGGTGCCCACCTGCACCCTGACACCCTGACACCAAGCTGCAGTCAGCATCGCGTCCCAGGCTGCAGAGGGCCCGGCGGAGGGCTGCCAGGCCAGAGCCCGAGGCCTCAGGTACCCAGCTGTGCCCCCAAGGGATGTCTTCCCAAGTCACCCAGCACAGCACTGGTGCCCTGAGGTCTCCTGGCTCGTGACCACCCAAAGATGGTGGACACACAGAACTTTATCCACCTGTACAGCATCAGCTAATGCTTCTGAGTTAGGAGGACTGAATGCAAGTGCTTCCAGAGCCTACTTCATACAAAAATATTCTTCCAAACATACAACAACAAAATCATCGTAGCAACAAAATCATCATAGTTCCTTCCACACTGCGAGATCCCTGACTGATTCTTGGAACATGGTCCCTTTATGATGTTCAACAGCAGGGTAAGAGAACAGGTCCTAAGGCTGGGCATGTGGTGCAGCAGTGAACTGTTCTTGGGACCCCTGGGCACCTGCAGTCCACATGGTGGAGCCAGGGTGTGATCTGGCTCCACACGGGAGGCCAGGTTCTTGTTTATGTCCACTCCGGGGGACAGCAGGCGCCGGCTCATGTCGCTGAGTCCCTGTCAAGGTCTGAGGCCCACAGTGAGCTCCTGGCTCCCAGCTATGTGATCCCTGGGGGACTGAACCAGCAGAGGGGACTGTCACCAACTGTCCCTCCACCTTCCAGAGAAGAAACACACACACGTGTTCCCCGTTACCCACTCAAACAAGTAAATGTTCTTAAATATTAAAGTGAGAAACAGTTAAATATTGAATGAAAAAAAGAAAGAAAAGAAAAGAAAGGAAAAGAAAAGAAAAGAAAAGAAAGGAAAGGAAAAGAAAAGAAAAAGGAAGGAAGAAAAGCAGGCAAACCAAACCCAACCCTGGTTGGCAGGCAGCTCCCCTGAGGTCGCCCGGTTAGTAACCGTAGAAGCTGGAATGTGGGCCAGGTAAGCGCAGCCCGAGCTCCTAATCCCGACAGCTGTTGTTTCCACGCCCGTGCAGACGTGCACACGAATGTGCACACACACACAGACTGCCCCCCGAAACGGCCAGAGTGCTTACTTCTGGGCACTGACATGGTAAGAGAGCAGGCGGAAGTTGCCGTCGGGAGGGATGAAGGAGAGGATCCGCTCGGCTTCCCAGCGCTTGAACCGCACACAGGGGTGGAAGCTGACGTCATCCAGCAGCCGGGGGTTCTGCAGTCACAGGGAGCACAGGGAGAGGAGAGGCAGGCGCTGAGCTTGCTCCCCCAACAGTGGCTCCCACACGCATGCACACACATATACATATACACACACATGCGCACACATGCATTCTTACATGTACACACTCACACTGACATTCGCACACTCGTACATCCACGCACACGCACTCACACATACACATGATTCACACACTCATGTACACACACACTTTGCATTCTCACTGCACTGCCTTCCCACAAGCACTTCATCTTTGCTCCCAAGGGCTGCCTCTCTGCCCAGCACCTACCATGAAGGAGAGGGTGAGGTCTGGCATGCCGGTCAGCTTGACACAGGCATCAATCACTCCCTGGATTTCGGCCGTAATGGTGGAACCTGCGACCGTGCCAACACGGAAAGAACAGAAGCCATCATTGACATGCCCTGTCCTTCCCAACAGCTCTCACCCTCTGCCCAGCCAGCCAGTGCAGCACAAGGCCCACGTGCCCATCAGACTGCTGGGCACCGTTAATCCACAGCTGACTTTCAGGACTTTGGGTAAAACCGTACCTCTCTTCAAACTTCATGCAAATATAACTGCACTACAATCAATCGTATGCAGCTAAAGTTCACTCGTGTTCACTGCTGTATAGTATTCTACTGTGCAATCACATTAGAGTGTGTCTACTGGAGATGGATATTTACGTTATTTCTCACTTTAGCTTCCATGGAAAGTGTCCTTGTCTGCTTAGCTTTAAACCTTCATCATCTACTTTTCTCTTTTTAGGACTCTTAATCCAGTCATACTGAACTACTTTATCTCCCGACAGGATTTTATCCATTTTAGGTTTGCACAATTGGGCCCGAGCCCACGTAGGTCGCGGACACAGATGGGTGCTCTCGGCTCTCCACACACCCGGCTGAGGCCCTGCTGTGCCCCTCCCATGTGCTCCACCTGCTGGCCCTTCTCCCTCCCCCGCCAGACTAGAGCTGAACAGTCTGTGTGGGCTGTGTAGTGTCATCAACTAGCCAGGACTGTGCTGTGGCACAAGAGTTCTGTCGACATTTGTTGAATGAAGCAGTTCACTGATGTGAAGAGAACTTTCTAGAAATGTCTAACTTCTAGGAGTGCCAGTCCCCGTGGTCTGATTGAGAACAGGCACAGGAAGTTCTCCAAATGCTAGCGATGACAACTTCTGCCCTGCCATCAGAAATGAGAATCAAACACATCCAAATGGAAATGTCGGCAATGAGAGTTCAAGGCTTCTCTTTGCCACTGGAGAGGACAAGATCTGTCAGAAGAACCACCTGTCACAAACACGGGCCTGCACCACGGCGTGAAGGTCCAGCCCCCAGTCCAACACTGCCACGCAGGGTCTCGGCCGGAGAACTCTGACCTCAGCAAGCGAAGCACATGAAAAGCTCCTACCTGATTTGTCAATAATCGCGTCAATCTCTTCAATCACATCGAAGTACGCCTCGTTGTTGGTGTATTTCACTCCAGTCCGCCGCCAAGGCACCACAGACAGCTGTCCAGTGGGAAGCTGGTCGCCCACATTAGTGCTCCCTGTGACGACATCAACACTTTAGAATGAGTACTTGCTTGCAGGCTGGATCCTAAGGACTAAAGAACCCATCCCCCAGAAGTCCCCAACCCCGGGCTCAGGCACACAGCTCAAGGGTTTTTCAGGAGGTAGACGGTCTTCTCCCCATCTGTCTGGGGTCCCTCAGCCCACTGGGAGACGTCCTGCTGCCAACTGGTCTGCACCCTCAAGCAGAATCAAGGTTAGAAACAAAAGAAGTGACAGGAGACCCAGATACCACATTTTGGTTCTGAAAGTAACCTGAACTCGGTATCTCAAATCTCACAATAGCTTGCAGCTTAAATAATGTATCAGCTTTCAGGAGGGTTGGGAAGACACACACTTCTGGAAAACTTTTACAGAAAAGGAATATTCTCCACTGCCGCAGGTCCTTAGCCACACTGACAGCAGGTACGGAAACGCTACGTCAACAGGCTCCATCTCCACGCGGAAAAGCACACAAACTAGTGTGCTTAAGAGTTAGCTGCAGATCAGTTACTTGATTATGTTCCCTACCCACTGATCAAGCAAAAAAAAAAAGTTTTTAATTCAAAGATTTTATACTGAAATAATCACTGTAGTTTAAATCATATTTCTACTTCCTCCTGCCATTGCTCCACCTTTTTTTAATCCAAAGAAAGAAATGCTAAGCATACACTCAGTATATTTACAAAATCTTGCAGTTTTTCAAAATTTTCTAGGTTTGCGGTTCTCAAATGCATGTAAGTGAGAAACAGGTTTTACAGCTTCATAATATTCACAAGTCTTTGTGGCATTAAAAAAATTTTTATGGCTTAACATGAGTTCAAAATATTGAAAACGCCATCAAGTTTGTTTTCTTCAGAACAGACACTGTGTACAACACCAGGCCATCCAGCTGTAACGCCAAAGCAGTGTGGCCAGAAGACAGGGCCCCGTGACAGCGGACTCTTCATACAGCATACAATATCACTTCAGACTGGGAAAAGGGGCAGATTGGCAAGCAAATGACACTGAAGAAGACTCCCCACTCTAGAAAAATGGACATAGAGCCTTACCTACCTCATATCATATAGCAAAATAATTTTCAAGTGAATTAAAAGATTGGATAATTTTTTTTAAAACCTGCAACCATACAGAACTATAAAAAGTGTTCTTTTCAGAAAAAGAACTTTCCTTGTCTGAGATCAGTAAGACATTATCCTGTTTTGATAACGGTCAAGTTTGTGTTGAACTCTGGTATACTGGCATTGACTCTGTATAGTGTGAAGCGTGACTTACTGGTTTCCCACACTGAGGCGGATGGCCCCATTACACTGAACACTTGGTCCCTGGTCTGTATAAATGACCGTATCTCTTTACACCAAATTCTACTAAAACAAGGATCCATTTCTGAACTTTCTATGTTTATCAAACTCATCTATTTATCTACTACTAGGCCAATACCATATTTTTAAATCTATCAAATTCAGAACATACCATGGATCAACCAGGTCACCTATTTTCTCTTGTCTTCTTTTAATTTATTTCTAAAAAGAGTCCAGCATTTCCAGTATATCTACTTTATATCAGTTTTCGTCTCGTGTATTGAGTGAGCTTCATATCTTGATCATGACATAACAAACTCATCTAACTCTTTAATACCAGGGTTATTCTCGCATACTTGTATGTCTTTAGATGTGTTTTCCTATCAGTTTGTCAAATTTTACAAAAGAAAATTGCATATGCGTTAAACAAAATCAAGATGTAAAACATTAGTGACTACGACCACTAATTTAGCTAAATCAAAGCATTTAACGTGTGACTAAGGAATAACAGTCCAAAGTCAGATAGAGAAGTCGACAGAGCGTGATGAAATACCTGCGTGGCAACATCCACAGCACAGCAAGGACTCCCGTCAATCATGCTGCCTGTTCCCGGGGCTGGTAACACACCTCACGGCCCAGCACTGGGAGGAGTGCCGTTAGACTAGCATGAAAGAACTCACACAGCAGAACGGGCAAAGCCATGGAACGGTAACACACAGGAGGGAATGGGTGAGCAGGCAGCGGTACAGGCTGTCCCCTCCCTCGTCACAGACGCACAGTGTGAGAACATCCACACACGAGAGACTGTCAGACTCTACACGACGACTAACACGAGGGCCCATCGCCACTCAGAGCGTCAATGCCGAGGACTTGTCTGCACCAGAGTGCATTAAAGCCCTTGACCTGGCAGTCCATTTCCAGGGCTGGGGAGTAATCATCTTAGATGTGGACAGACTGAAGTTTCAGAAAAATAATCCTAGTTTGTTTTTTTTTTTTAATAAAAGCATATCTGTTTACTTGAAACACAAAGATGCACAAGCAGAGGGAGAGAAAAGGATATTCCTCTTTCCTGTGGCTGGTCAGGCTGGAGCCAGGAGCCAGGAGTCTGGGGCTTTGCCTGAGTCTCACATAGAGGCGGGGGCCCACTCCTCAGCCAGCCTCTGCTGTTTGCCCAGGTGCCTTGGCAGGGAGCTGGATGGGAAGTGGAGCAGCCGGGACTGGAACTGGCATCAGGCAGCAGTTTAACCTATCATGTCACAGAGCAATAAACCCCATCCCTCCGACACAGACACACACAAATAAGGACCATAAGCAGAAAAAGCCTAAATAATTTAGTGCCTACAATACACGAGATATTAGTTTAAAAAAAAAAATCTTGGGCCCAGTGGCATGGCCTAGCAGCTAAAGCCCTTGCCTTGAACGTGCCAGGATCCCATATGGGCACCGGTTCTAATCCCGGCAGCCCTGCTTCTCATCCAGCTCCCTGCTTGTGGCCTGGGAAAGCAATTGAGGATGGCCCAAAGCCTTGGGACTCTGCACCCACGTGGGAGACCTGGAAGAGGTTCCTGGCTTCAGATCGGCACAGCACTGGCTGTTGCAGTCACTTGGGGAGTGAATCATCGGATGGAAAATCTTCCTCTGTGTCTCTCCTCCTCTCTGTATACCTGACTTTGTAATAAAAGTAAATAAATCTTAAAAATATATATATTTACCCAATAGTCATTTACTTAGAAGAAATGAGAAATGCATGCACTTCTGTTAAAGGTGTGGCAGAATGAAGAGTGATTTCTCAGGGGCTGCCACTGTGGTGCAGCACACTGAACCAACACTGCGTCCTTTGCCAGAGCGCCAGTTTGAGTCGCAGCTGCTCTACTTCCCATCTAGCTCCCTGCTAATGCTCCTGGGAAGGCAGTAAAGACAGCCCATCCCCTTGAGACCCTGCATCCGCGTGAGAGACCCAGATGGAGCTCCAAGCTCCTGGCTTTGACCTGACCGAGCCCTGCCCATTGTGGCCATTTGGGCAGTGAACCAGGGATGAAATATGTTTCTTTGTCACTCTGAATATTGTTAAAAGAGAGTGGTTTTCATATTCCTCTATGTGCACCTTTCTGTATTTCCAAAGCTAAAATGTTTCCTTGCTAATCAAAAACATATATATATGTACATAAATATGTATATATACATGCGTGTGTGTGCATAGACAACACTTCAACACTTCATTTTGTCAGTGAAACAGAATTTTGTATGTAGCAAAAATATAGTTCCAGGGCACAAAGGCTGTAAAGACTGGGCAAGTGTGAAGTTCATGGACCATTGAGGTCCGCAAAGTCAAACAGAACTGCGCACAGCACAAGGGGGGGGGGGTTACGAGGCCCTGCCCCATCTGAGGCCCCGCCCCACTTGCAGCCCCGCCCACCTGCCTCAGACCCGGGCCACCCCCTTCCAGCAGCCCAAGGCCCCGCCCCTGCCCGGGGCCCCGCCTCCCACAGCCCAAGGCCCCCCTCCTGCAGTTCAAGACACCGACCCCACTGGGGCTCCGCCTCCTGCACCTTTAAGCCCCGCCCCTGCCTGTCCAAGTCCCCGCCCCCCCAGGCCAGCCGGGCCCCTCCACCAGCACCCCAAGGCCCCGCCCCTGCCTGGCAGAGGCTCCGCCCACCCCAGGCCAGCCAGGCCCCGCCCACCGATGCCAGCCCCCCTGGGACCCGCCTGCCCCCGAACCTGTTATGGTGTTGACCACCGTCCGCAGGATGGTGGGAGGTTTGATGAGCTCTTTCAGGATGTTGGACTCGGTGGCCAGCGGGAATCCGTTGTCAAGCATCTCCTCCAACACCTCATACACTACCACCACATTGTCTTTGATCACTGGCTCGGAGCAGACTCCAAAGTAATCCTGCGAGGATACAGTAAGCAAAGAGCGTGCGTCCCTAGAACGCAGGGCTCCCTCCGTGCCTCTGCGGTCCTCCCCGACAGCCGGGACGGGGCACGGCCACAGCGCTCTGGGCAGCCAGGCCAGGGCCAGGGTCTTCAGTCACAGCGGCTACACACCAGGGGAAGCCAGGGAGCCCTCGGGGTACACAGATTTCACTCTAGCTTATCCCGCATGCTGATGACCCAGGAGACATCAGGATGGGGTCATGTGGCACAGTGGTTAGGCTCCTGCTGGAGACACTCACTCCCCCCCCCCCCCCCCCCCCCCCCCCCGCAGAGTGCCTGGTTTCTGCCACAGAAACTGAACCTGCAATCAGCTTCCTGCTCCTGGGGACCCGAGAGAGCCAACACCTCAAGCCAACACGCAGCCATGCCAGCCACAGGCGAGCCCCCAGCTGGAGCCCCTGGCTCCTGGCCCCGTCCCGGCTGTCGCAGGGCATCTGGGCAGAAAACCAGGACATAGGTGACTGCCCTACTGGCCTTTCAAACAGCAGGAAAATAAAAGATAAAGAGAACTTAGTGTAACAGTATTCAAAACCTTTTTTAAAAGAATTATGTAGAAGGATAATACTTAGTGTGATAATTATATGTGAAAATTTTTAACTGGAACTTTTTCAGATTTATTTTATTTTATTTTTTGCTGGAAAGACAGATATACAGAAAGAAGGAGAGAAAGAGGAAGATCTTTTATCTGTTGGCTCACTCCCCAAGTGGCCACAATGGCCCGAGCCGATCTGATCCAAAATCCAGGAGCCAGGAGTTCCTTCAAGGTCTCCCTCGCAGGTGCAGGGTCCCAAGGCCTTGGGTTGTCCTCTACTGCTTTCCCAGGCCACAAGCAAGGGAGCTGGATGGGAGTAGAGCAGCTGAGACAGAACCAGCACCCATATGGGATTCCAGCCCATGCAAGACAAGGATTTAGCCACTAGGCTATCACGCTGGGCCCTGTATGAAATTTTTTCACGCCTATTATTGCACTACTACTATCCGTCATGCAGCGAAGATAAGTTGAGACAGGAGAAAAAAGTGAGAGGGAGGAGCGACCACACAAGGAAAACCTCTCTGGTCACTGCTAGGACTCTGAGAACTCTGTCCTTTCATTTAACGGGGCAAACTCCCACACTGAATTATCTGGGTTGTGGCAGAAACACAAGGTGGCAAATCGGGCCTAGGATTATAATCCTGTATTTTAATAAGTTTGGGTCATGCGTTCTTTAACAATATAATCAAGATGACACCACCGTAAAAAGCAGGCATAATAAGAAAGCGACGGTGTGTACAGACAAGCTTCGTATCCTGAGATGCGCACTGCAGAATGAAGGCGTGGTGATGACACTGACTCAGGAGCAAGATGAGACAGTCACACCCTTCCAGCCACGTCAGCCCCGCCTTCCGTGGGGTTCGTGCATAGCCCTGCGACCCTTCTTCAGGCCGAAAACTTTAACTTCCTCTCATGCTGGGTTATAAAGCTGGCTGTCTTTCACCCAACAAGGTCACACAGCACCCTGGCTGCTGCCTGAAAACTACTACCACCTCTCACGTTCATTTTTTTCTTCCTGCAGTTAGACACCTAGCGCCCTAGGCTACAGGATGGTGTCCACGCTAGGTCACCATCTGGCCACTTCTGTATTCGATATCGGCTGTCAGCAGTACTCCAGTGCCCACACCACGGAGGCATCAGGAGCGCACTCCTGAAATGATGAAATGACAATTCTGGGTGGGCTTTATGAATCAGGTGGAAGTGAAATGAATGTTGGGGAAAGAGACCTGCAACATGACAGAGAACTATAATAAAAATGCTGCCTGGGCTAGCTCTGTGATGTATCAGTCTAATTCCCCAAGTGCAGTACTGGCATCCCATGTAGTTCCTGTCCCGGCTGCTCCACTTCCCATCCAGCTCCCTGCTTGTGACCTGGGAAAACAGAGGAGGATGGTCCAAGTCCTTTAGGACGTTGCACCTGCAGGGGAGACCCAGAGGGAGCTCCTGACTCCTGGCTTCAGATCCACTCAGCTATGCCTGCAGCAGTTACTTGGGGAATAACCCAGCACATGGAAGATCTCTCTCTCTCTCTACCTCTTTCTTTGTAAATCTTTCAAATAAAAATAAATGAATCTTAAACATATGCTTGCTGTTCTATACTTGGAACTCCTCAGTTGTATCCTGGTATGAGAAAGATCATGCTGCTGCTGAGGACACACTGGATAAACACATTACAACAGGATGTTTCCAGGTGCTTTTCTTGCATTTTTGTTTATTTGAAAAGCAAAGCGACAGAGGGAATGGGACAAAGAGATATTCCATCTGCAGAGTCACTCTCCAAATGGCCTCAACAGCCAGGTCTGGGCCAAACCAAAGCCAAGAGCCAGAAACTCCATCCGGGTCTCCCACACGGAAGCAGGGGCCCAAGGACTTGGGCCATCTTCTGCTGTCTGTCCAGCTGCATTAGCAGGGAGCTGGATCAGAAACAGAGTGGGCAGGACTCCAACTCACACTCCAGTATGGGACTGCGGTGTTACAGGAAGAACCTTAACCCATGGTATCTCAGTGCCATCCCATCCAAGCATGTTTAACAACTGCTGCAGTAACGACCAGCTCCGGGCTGGGTGCACAGCCTAGCAGCCAAGATGCCCATGGGTCCTATCTGAGGGTATGGGTTCGATACCCACCTCTGGCTCCTGGCTCTTGCTCTCCTGCTCATCCAGACCCTTGGAGGCAGCAGGTGCTGGCTCCAGTAGCTGGGTCCCTTTGCCACAGGGAGCCCTAGATCAAGCTCCTGGCTCCTGCTCTCAGCATGCCACCTCAGCTAGCAGAATGGAGTATCATTCCATTCTCTCATTCTCAAAACAAAAACAAAAACAAAAAAGTTTTATTTTTTTTAATTACAAGCTATAAAAGGCTCAGATCCCAAACTGCTCTGTTGTTTCCACTAAATTGCACAATTTTTCCTGCTTTCTGAAAAGGTTATATAATTGATAGTTTTATATATTATAAATATATTTATTACATATTACTTTAACTACATATTTGTAATTTATAATATGAAACACCTGTTGAGCTTTACCAATGCAGCTGCTTACATTAGAATAAGTGAAGTAGAGCCCAGAGGCATGACCTAGCAGCTAAAGTCCTCGCCTTGAACGCACTGGGATCCCATATGGGCGCCGGTTCTAATCCCGGCAGCCCTGCTTCTCATCCAGCTCCCTGCTTGTGGCCTGGGAAAGCAATCGAGGATGGCCCAAAGCTTTGGGATTCTGCACCCGCGTGGGAGACCTGGTTCCTGGTTCCTGGCTTCAGATCGGCACAGCACTGGCCGTTGCACTCACTTGGGGAGTGAATCATCAGAAGGAAGAACTTCCTCTCTGTCTCTCCTCCTCTCTGTATACCTGACTTTGCAATAAAAATAAATAAATCTTAAAACAAAAAAAATTAATTGAAGTAGTAGGGGTCAATGCAGTGGTGTACAGCAGGCAAAGCTACCACATGTGGTGCCGGCATCCCATATGAGTACTAGTTCCAGTACCAACTGCTCCACTTCAGATCCTGTTCCCTGCTAAGGCATCTGAGAAAGCAGCAGAGGATGGCTCAAGTCCTTGGACTCCTGCATCCATGGGGAGACCAGGAAGAAGCTTCTGGCTCTTGGTCTCAAATGAACCCGGCTCCAGCCACACACAATAGCAAATTGGGGAGTAACATAGTACATGGAAGATCTTTCTGTTTCTCTCTCTTTCTCCCTTCCTCCCTACCCTGTCCCCCCCGTCCCTCTCTGTTATGCAGTCTTTCACATATATACATCTTTGTAAAAAAAAAAAAAAACACGTAAAGTAGTACATGACAAAATCTAAACAAAGTCTGTTTCAAGCAGTTGAAGATCTGAAATGGACTGCTGCGTCCTTGTAGTTGCCCCACTTTTTGCAGCTTCTAATGCTTTGGTTTCCAGATGCAAGGAGCTGGTATGCCAGGTGAGAACTGATGTAGAGTAACAGCGCTCTCAGGGAGAGCTGGTAAGGAAACGGGAGATACATCCACTTGAACTCTCTTGGGAAGCTGCTCCCACATGTGATGTGGCCAGAAGTCAAGCGCAAGGTCTCTGGACTGGCCTTTTATCTTGCCCATCATCAGTGCCCTTGTTCTCTGGCCCAATTCCACCCTTCCCACAGGCACGTCATGGGACTAACTCAAGGCCTCACATGACACACAAGCGAGACCAAACAGCCTTTGCTCACTTCTCACTTGAGATGCACATGCCATCCCAAGAGTTTAGGAGCTTTGTGACTCCCTCAGGGAGAGGATCTGGGGTCTGAGATCCTGGACCACACAGGGGCTCAAGGCCTGCTACAATTTCCACTGCCTGCCACCCCAAACATCTTCCAGTCCACCCACTAAAAAAACTAGAACGGGAAACTGCACTTAGAAGATACATTGCTTGGACTCTCACGGGCACAAATGTTCATCTTGATGTCTGTAAGCAGAACTCATCACGACACACACACACGCAATCAGTCATCCTGCCCGAACCCCAAGAGAAAGGTCACATTTGCAAAGTACCCTGGCCAGGGACAGTGGCCAATTCCACTGTGGCGCTGTTTTTCTAGAAAGCTTTACATGACCAAAGCAAGGCAGCCAACTGCAGCCAGCATCAAGTCCACTCCAAGAACTCCCCTATAACACCTGGGCAACAGAGACCCTCCCCCTGCCACCAAGGAAGACCCCAGGATTCATTCTGACCTTGGGGATGCAGCACAAACAAGAATCCTTTCTGAGGGGGAGATGTGAACAACCCAAGGCTGTGCCTAAAGCAAACAGGCAAGCAGACCTTCCTCGCGAGCGCCCCTCACTCACGGACCTGAAACGTGTCCACTACCCGATGAAGGAACTCGATGACAAACAGGGGCGGGACCTCCGTCTGGATCACGGCCACGAAGAAGATCTTGTGGCGGTAAACACTTAGCAGGTAGTGGTGTGGGGTAGGGATGACCGGAGGCACGTTCTCCGCCTCCGTCGCCCTCTCCTGTGCCTCAAAAAAGTAATCACACACCGAGCGGCTGACCACACTTTTCCAGTGCTTCTCCAGGAAAATGTCTCCCGATGAGTTGATCAAGAACAGACTGTGGATCATGGTGAAGGTTGCTGGCGACGCGGGACTGTGCCGGCTGTCGGTCCTGGAAACAAAACATGCCGCCCCATGGTGAGCTCCACTTGTACCACATCCTCTGAGGCCCAGGCCTTTGGTGAAGCAGCCAAGATGCCCCTTGACCTGGGTCCCTCCCCAGTCACAGCACCTAGCTGCAGTGGCCAGCCCCACTTCCCATGCCAGCTTCCTGCGAAGTGGCAGCTTGCGTTACATCGGTGACAGCCACACCAGTGGAGTCTCTGCCCATCCTGTGGGAGATCCCAAGGGAGTGAACTTCTATATATGAGATCTCTCTTTGTCTCTCTGCCCTTCAAATAAATAAACAAATCAATGCAAACCTAAAAACAAAAACAAACAAAAAATGTGCAGCTTAATGGAGTCACTTGAAACCTGCCAGGGTAAAACTAAGAGGTGCTCTAACACAGACAACCAGGACTGGCACATGGCATAGTGCATTAAGCCACCACCTGTGATGCTGGCATACATTCTCCATAACGGGTACTCGTCTGAGTCCCGGCTGCTCCACTTCCTAGCCAACTTCTTAGTAATGATGGCCTGGGATCACAGCAGAGGATGGCCCAAGTGCCTGGGCTCTTGTCCCTACGTGGGGGCCTGGGTCATGCCTTCAGCCTGACCCGCACCTACAACCATCTGGGAGTGACTGGCTGACAGATCTCTTTCCTCCTCTATCTTGCAAACAAATAATTGAATACTAAAAAAAAAAAAAAAAAAAAAAAAAAAAAAGGAAGGAAGAAGAAAAACACAACCAATTTGAACAGCTTTGTATGAAAGCCAGAACTTCAAATCTCTAACGGATAATCTAAAATGGATTTATGTTGGAATAATATTTGGGATCCACAGCATTGCGTAAGGCGGTTTAGCCCGGCTTATTTTCAAGTGCCAATACTGTTGCTGAGGCTGTGCTTGTTATGCACAAAGCACTTCCTCCGATGCCTTAAAAAATTTTTTTTTGCAAAAAATTAAAACCCTCCGGGTGACCCTCCAGACTCCTCGGGTACCAGGCGCCAGGTGAGGCCACTGTGCTGGATCAGGTCCGTAGATTCTGCCAACCGGTGCAGGTGGCCAAGGGGCCGAGGTACCGGAGCCCCACTGCGACCCTAATCCCTCAGCACAGGACTAAACCACGGGGGTGCGGGGCAGAGGTGGTGCCAGAGCGGGTTATTTTTACACTCGCCCTAAACCGGGCCGTCTGTGAGCCACAGACGACGGAGGAGGCAGAGACGAATTTGAGGTACACGCATCTCGGCTGGGATGAGGATGAAGAGGGTACGTCCCGGCCTAGCCCCACGTGTTGCCATGGCAACAGTACTCCCTTCCTCCCTCCATCCCTCTCTGCCTCCCTGCGAGGGGAGCGCGCAGCCTCCCTTACCCACGCGGCGCAGGCCCTCACCTCTCCCCGCCACAGCGCAAGCCCCCCGACGGTCGGTCCCGCGTTGAGCCGCCCGGACTTCAGGCCGCCAGCCAAGCTCAGCCGGCCTAGCTCCTCCTTGCCAGCGCCCTGGGCTCGGCGGGGAGGCAGGCCCGCCCCGCGCGCGCGCCAGCTCCGCCCTCCGCGGGCCTGCGGATTGGCCGGCCCGCTGTCCTCCTCCGGCCGCTCGTCGGGCGTCGCTCGGCAGCGCCCAGCCCTGATTGGAGGGCGAGGACAGTCCTCCTCGCCCGCAGTCCACCAGGCACCACCTGCATAATTGCGGGATGGACCGGGAAGGCGGTGCGCAGAGGTGGTCTCCAGGGCGCCCCGCGGATAGTAAGTCGAGAGCAATGATACCCTGCATCAGAGCTGGATCCCAGCCCCTTGCTAATACACACCTTAGGAGGAGGCAGGTGCTGGTTTCAGGACTTGGGCCTCTGCCTCCCACCCACATGGGATACCTGGATTGAAGCTAGTAGATGAGGTTTGGCATGTGTTAACCCCAGAACTAATGATTCCATGAGATAAGATGTGGCAAGAGGTCGGCCTATTCCTCCTCCTTCTCCTTCTGGATTTATTTATTTTTATTGGAAAGGCAGATATACAGAGGAAAAAGAGAGGGAGAAAGATCTTCAGTTCACTGGTAGCTCCCTCCCCTGCAGCCCCCCCACCCCCCATCAAGTGGCCGCAACAGCAGGAGGTGAGCTGATCCTAAGTCAGGAGCTTCTTCCTGGTCTCCCATGCGGGTGCAGGTTCCCAAGGCTTTGAGCCATTCTCTACTGCTTTCCCAGGGCACAGGCAGGGAGCTGGAAGGAAAGTGAAGCAGCTGGGACACAAATCAGCACCTATATGGGATCCTGGGCTGTGCAAGGTGAGGATTCAGCCACTGGGCCTACACGCTGGGCCAGCCCATTTCTAAGTGCTTGGGAAAGGGGTCAGAGGTAGTTGGCTGTGTGAAGTGGGCCTGCCTGTTGAGGACCTTTGCCCAGGGGGCAGCCCCTCTCGGCACAAGACCTTTGTTAAGGCCACATAGAAGATTATTTTATATAAATATATATGTATAAAAAATATAAACACATATATATATATATTTTTGCCATTAGTGTGTGAGGGCTACTTATGAGCCAAAGGCAGAAAGCTGAATGAAGTGACCCCAATGAAGCCTAGGGACTTTAGTGCCAGAGCAGCTAAGTGGTGCAGAGCGACAGGCATGGTACAGAGGTGCCAACCTGAATACTGTCATGGGGAAAGTCCCTGTGGCCACACTCCAGCTGAGAAGAGAAATGAGAAGCGGGAAATCAGTACAGTGTGGGGAGCAAGGAGCACGGGGCAGGTGGGAGCAGGGCTGGGGAGAGCGGACTGACCTGCAGTCAGGGGATGGATGCCTCTAAGCCAAAGCCTGAGAATGAATGAGTGGAGGGACACGTGGAGGTGAGAGGGCCAAGGACAACCGAGCCAAGCAGGTGTCTGGAAGCCTCATGGTTACCATACTGTGCCCTGACCGTTCATTCCACAAAAGTGACCAGTGAGCCCTACACCGTCCGTAACTCCAACAAGGAAAAGATAAAAAGATCTGCTCTCACAGAGCTTACATTTTAGTGCAGAGACAGCGAATAATTAGAGGGGATGATAAGGGCATCTCCATACATGGAAATGGGTTTAAAAGATAATTTCATCTTGGTATCAAAACTTTTGAAATCCATTCAATTGGAATTCCCCCAATTCAGTCATCAGTATCCTCCCGGGGCTCTCAAGGGGCACGGTCGGGAAACCAAAGCCCGGTCCCCGGGTGACTGAGCAGCCACATACCCCCTCACACTGCAGGACCGTGGCATTCTTGCCCCAGTCCTGTTGGGTTCGTTGCCACATGTTCCACCTTAGCTCTTTGAACACTGGCTCTCAATGTTGCATCTTCAACCTCAGCCCACTCACAAATGTCCAGACCCTTGCATCCATCACTTATTTGTTAATAACACATTTATTTTACTTGAAGAGTTACAGAAAGAGAAAGGTGGAGAGAGATCTTCCATCTGCTGGTTCACTCCCCAGGTGCTCCAACAGCAGTGGCTGGGCCATGCCAGAGCCAAGAAACAGGAGGTTCTTCCAGCTTTCCCACACAGGTGCAGAGCCTCAAGGATTTGAGCCGTCCTTTCCCAGGTACCTTAGCAAGGAGCTGAATGGGAAGTGAAGCATCTGGGACTGGAACTGGCACCCATATGGAATGCTGGCACCACAGAGGGAGGACTAGTCAGCTCTGCCACCTCTCTGCACAGATACCTCAACAGGTCTGTGAGAATAAGTCTCCGTCCCTAATCTGTTGGGTCCTCCAACTCCACCTCACCACTAGGTGTCACCATCTTCATAAACCCCCCATCAGGACAGCAGCTCTGTAACAATCAGCCCAGCCTTCCCATAGCTCCTGTTCTGCCTTCAGCTCTTCCTCTCTCTTGCCTTCTTAGAAAGTTTCTCATCACCCCCTCTCTGCCACCCTATGCTTTCTCAATCCATACCTACTTTTCATTTTAATGTCTTTACTTGAGAGGCAAAGAGTTGCAGAGATAGGGCAAAACAGAGAGCTTCCATTCGCCAGTTCACTTCCCCAATTCCTATAATATTTCTAAGCCCAGGGCCTCAGTCTGGGACCCAGGAACCCAATTCAGTCATTCTGAGTAATGGAGGACCTTACTCAACTGCCGGACCAAGTGCTTGCCCCTCCAGCCGTCCTTCAAAGCAGCCAGGACAGCTCGTTCCAGTCATTTCTGCTGTTTCCACATTCCCCTTCCTGTGCTGGGCATCTGTCTGGGTCAGCCTGACAGCTGAGGGCTAGCACCGTGTCTGGCACCTCGTAAACCTCAGTAATTGTTTACTGAGTAAACAACCTGATCCCATCACTTTCTGTGCACCTGCTGATGGAGGCAGGGTTGCCTGAAAAAGAATGCAAGAGCCTGATGCATGAGACTCAGCACAGGACAGAGGGGGGTGACAAGTACTTGTCCATGACAGAGCAGCCCAGAAGGGAGGACACTGTGTATCCCCAGGGCATCCCAGGCTGTGTTCTGCCAGGGGCTGTGGGCAGAGGAGGGCAGGAGGACCCTTGCTTCCCACAGGAACCTGAGATTGGCGCTGTTCACATCATGTCACAGGCTAAGAGGACGGTGAACCCCGTGGGCTTGAGAACTGTGTGGGATGCAGGAGGCAGCTGGCAGGGCAGCAAGCCAGGCAGTGAGCCACTCCTATTGTTTCTGAAGGACACAAGCTCACATTCACGGTTTCCATGGCCTAGGATGCTCAGGGATGTCAGGGCACCACAGGGAAGCTTAAGTCCAGCAAGGAACAGACACAGGAAACAGTCTGTAGCAGGGAGTGGATAGAAGAGCCTGCTTCATTCCGTGGCTAAGGGAATGCACGATTGCTCTGCCGTAAGCCCCATGATGTTATAGGGGTAGGCTAAGATGGGCACAGGGGTAGCTAGTCAAATGTTCAAAATGTAACATTAAATAAAATTGAATTCCTGGCCCACACTGGTCTTACTCTGAATGGGAGCCAATGGGTACTGTACTCACCGAACATAACAAAAGCATGGGGTTGCC